GTCCTTCATGTAGTTTCAAGGCGTTAACTTTCATGGTTGCTATCCACAGGTGCCTCTGCCTGGGCCCAAACCACCCTGGCGCTGCATGCCAAAGACAAGAGGACTCACTTGTACACGCTGCAGCAGCTGGAGGAAGGGAAGACGCACGACCCTCTCTGGAATGCGGCGCAGGTATGCAGAACTCCAGGCGTCTGAAGACAGAGGGCAGCGGGCCTGTAGCCACGGTTGGGCCTCTGGGGGCGGAGCCCCACCAGGGACGAGTTCTGCCCCAACCCAGGAGGCTGCGAGGGGGCTGGGAAAGGAAAGGGAAGCCGCCCTCCCACTTTAAGAACATAAGAACAGAAGAGACGCCAATGTTGGATCAGGCCAAAGGCCCATGCAGTCCAACACTCTGTATCACACAGTGGCCAGAAATACCAGGTGCCATCAGGAGGTTCACCAGTGGGGCCAGGACATTACAAGCCCTCCCACTGTTGCCCCCTCAAGCACCAAGATGACAGAGCATCACTTGCCCCAGAGCCCCTATCTGTACCTTGTAGCTAATAGCCACTGATGGACCTCTGCTCCATATGCTTACCTAATTCCCTTTTGAAGCCGTCCATGCTTGTAGCCGCCACCACCTCCTGTGGCAGTGAACTCCAAGTGTTAATCACTCTTTGGGTGAAGAAGTACTTCCTTTTACCCGTTCTAACCCGACCGCTCAGCAGTTTCATGGAGTGCCCACGAGTTCTTGTACTGTGAGAAAGGGAGAAAAGTACCTCTTTCTCTACCTGCTCTTTCCCATGCATAATCTTATAAACCTCGATCATGTCACCCCTCAGTCGTCGTTTCTACAAGCTAAAGAGACCTAAGCGCCTTTTGTTCAGTTTCACTCCCCACAGATCAGCTGTTAATACCTCCACACATTTGTTCGCTGTCCCACTGGACAATCTGCACAAATCAGCTGTTGTAGATTTCCCGGGTTGTGTGGCCGTGGTCTTGGCATCGTAGGACCCAATGTTTCGCCAGCAGCTGTGACTGGCATCCTCAGAGGTATCACACAGAAAGACGGAGGACTCTCTGTGTCAGTGTGAGAAGGAAAATGGTAG